TGTATTTGGTTTAATTTTTTTGTCAGCGCTACTATTGGTAGACTAATTCAATGCTTTATGCTAAGCCACACAACATTACCCCTAACTAAAGAATTAACTCAATTAAGGAAATAAGTGAATGGGATGATTATTATGGTTTTCATTGGTCTTGTTCTGTACTCTAATACCTTAAAGGAGCTAGCCTCAAGGAATGAAATACTGACCAATTATTGAGGGCTCAGTCACTATCTCTGGTATACAGCACTATCTTCTAATGTGGTTTGAAAAAAAAAAAAATGTAGTACCTTCTCAGTACCAGCAGTCATTCATATATGCTCCTTTTTTCCTAAAGCTATTTCCTAAAATACCAAGTCAGGAATGGAGGTAGTCACGATTTGAGGCTATTCCTAAAGGTATTTCCTAAAATACCAAGTCAGGAATGGAGGTAGTCACGATTTGAGGCTTAGTGCCAGTTATGTGTTGAACTGTGTCCCCTATAAAGATGGTGAAATCCTAATTCTCCAGTACTTGTGAATATGACTTTACATATTTGGAAAAAGGAATGTTGCAGATAATGAAGTTAAGACGAGGTCAGCCCTGTCTGGTGTTGCTCAGTGGACTGAGTGCCGGCCTGCAAACCAGAGGATCACCAGTTTGATTCACAGTCAGGGCGCATGCCTGGATTGCCAGTCAGGTCCCCAGAAGAGGGTGGGCAAGAGGCAAGCACACATAGATGTTTCTCTCCCTCTCTTTCTCCCTCCTTTCCCCTCTCTCTAAAAATAAATAAATAAAATCTTAAAATAAATAAAATCTTTAAAGTGGTGACTGAGTCACCACTTAAAAAAAAAGACAAGGTCATAAGGGTGGTTGTTAATTCATCATCACTGGTGTTCTCATGAAAAGGGGAAATTTGGAACAGAGACAGGCAGGTACAAGCAAAGACGATGTGAAGACATAGGGAGAATGCCGTATCCAAGCCAAGGAATCTTTGGAAACCAGAAGCCAGCAAAGAAGCGTAGAACAGATTCTTCCTCACAGTCCTCAGAAGGACCCAACCCTGATGACTCCTTGATCTGAGATTTCTAGTCTCCAAAACTGTGAGAGAATAAATTCTGTTGCTTAAACCACCCAGTTTGTGGTACTTTGTTCCAGCAGACCTAAGAAACTAATCCAAAGACCTAGTCTCGAAATTTTTGCTTTCTTCCCTCACAAATGGGTTCTGTCCATCTAGAAATTAAAAAAAAAAAAAAAAAACAGGGAGGAATACATTCACGAGGGGACCTGATATATTTTCTACTGAATTAAAAGATGAGACTGCTTTATGGCCATTTAAAGTTCTTTACCCTTGTTGAGAAAGAGAGGGGGGGATTATCTCCATCAGTGCATTATCTCCATAAAATCTCTCCATCAGTGCAACATTTTAAACTCTGAAAAAAAACGACTTTAAGTTAAGACAACGAGTTAAATAGTTAAATAGTCCTGGAATGACAATAGTCAAGACAAAATAGTTCTGTTGCCACATATAAATGAGGGTTAAAAGGATAGTTACTACTCCACAATAAGTTCTGTACACAGTAGAAACTGTGAAAGTAAAGACAGGAACAACCATCCACAGGTAGGAACAAAAGGGCTCAGATGGTTTTGGATGAAGGGTGTGGTTCATTCAGCTCATGGAGCAGACAAAAACCCAAACTTGAGGAACTGCCTAAAGAGAAAGAGAGATATGAATTGGGTAGTGAAGGATGACGTCCTTAATAAACGCCAGCTCAAGCTTATCAACAAAACAGTCAGGCAAGCCCTAAAGTGAGTACCTATATTCCTCTCTTTTTTTATTATTATTTTTGGCATATAGTAGGTGTTGGTACACTACAATGTATCATTTGGTCCATAAGGCATAACACATTGACAAGGGATTGTGACAGAACTAGATGAGGCATGGATATCACCCAAGGATGCTAAACTAAGAAAGGGTAGCCTTGAGCCTTCCTCTCTGGTTACAGTGATAAAAACCTATTGAGGAGGAGATACTTTCTGTTGTGCATTACTAGGTTACTTTGTATTAGAAATGTATGCATATATTTGAAATACTTTCAAATTGTTTTATAAAAAGAAGGTCATGTGTATTTGTTGTACAGTCAATAACTAGAATGTGTAGACTTTTCTTGTTTCTGCTTCCTTCCCAGCATCTATTCCTTTGTGGGAGCTGTCCAGACACTCTACCTGACTCTACTGAGATATCAATCACAAAACTCGAGAAATAAGCTAAGCCAAAATAATGAGGCTCTCTTTTCGAGGAATTTCAATTGTATATAGAGACACATAGGACTAGAAGGCTGTTAGAACTAGTCATACGGTGGCAGCTCCCAACATAGTGAGCACATGAGTCTCCATTATATTGATCACCTATATTCCCAAATCCCTGACTTCCCTAGGCCTGGTTATTCAGACTGCCATTCAGTAGCCCTCCAATAAATCCACTCAGCTTTTTCTTTCCTTCCCTCCCTCCCTCCCTCTCTCCCTCCCTCCCTCCCTTTCTTCCTCCATTCTCTCTTTCTTCTCCTTTCTTTCTCCCCTCCCTTCCCTTATCCTTGCCTTCTCGATTTCCTTTACCTTCCTTCCCCTTCCCCTTTCCACCCCCTTCCTTTCCCTCCTTCCCCCTGCTCTTCTCTTCCCTTCCCTTTCCTTTCCTTTTCTTTCCCTTCCTTCATTATCATTACCATTGCTTGCAGTTAAAGAATACTGATATATGTATTACCAGGCTTCTTATATATTTTTCTCATAATATTTTGAAAGTTTACATATGGGTATAGAACATTTATCTATAAAGAGGCTATTATACTTGGTGAAAAGAAAAGGTCTATTGTGAAAGCACCTCTGTGTTTCCTAGCATAGAATTAATGGTAAGAGAATATAGCACAGAGTGTTGTTGTTGCTGCATACCAGAAATTGTTTCTAACTCTTTTAGCACCAACCCCAACTCTAACCTAACCTTGATAAAATCTCTCCATCAGTGCAACATTTTAAACTCTGGAAAAAAAGGACTTTAAGTTAAGACAAAGATGGATAAACAGTGAAAGGAATAGTTAAAAATGAAAACACAAGTAAAAAAAGAGAAGGAAAATATGAGTGTGTAATGTTTAGGATGGACTGCATCTACCCACAAGTGGAAGTCTCGACAGCACCAAATTAGCACAGCCAAAAGGGGACATCTCCCTTCCTCTGGTTCTCTTCACCACAGCCCTTAGTGGAAAATGACATGAAGTATGTATACAGTATATGTTTTAAATCTCTCTCTTTCCATATATATATATATATATATATATATATATGGACTGAAAATGTCTGGAAAGTCAGTCAACATCTCTGAACAATTTTTTTATTGTTAAAATGAAGAAGTTAATCTGGATTTCTCACTCTCAAAACTAAACCTATGATTTGCTTTTCTTTAAATAGCAACTAAACATGAATTACAAATATTTATATCTCAAATTTAAAATATTAGGGAGTAAATTAATTCCATCTGTATCACAGTTTCTTCATCAGCAAACCAAGATGACTTTCAATCTGATTGAACTATCAAATTTTTTAAAATGAAGAGACCATAAGGGCTTTATATGCTATACTGACGGAATTAATTTATCTACTCTAATAGTATCTATGCATAACAAGTATATTTCTCTCTACACATAGAATCTCTCTACACATTTGAATACCTGCATATAATACACACACGCGCACTTTTTAACTGTCTACATTCAATGAAAATATAACAATTTCTATTTTTTTAAAAAAGGGCCTAGCAAATTCCTGTAATGACAAGCAGTAAGCATGGCAAGTCACTTTTGCTTCTTTCTCTTCTCCAAAGCACTGGTTAGCAGACAAATATTTGATTGTCTTCATGAGCTACATAGAAGATAATAAGGTAGTGCCTATGGGCCACATGCAGGCTTAATAATACAGGCTCAAGTGTTAAAGTTCTGCTATTGCAGTTCTTTAATATAAAATCAACACATAATGTTTTAGCCTCTAAATTAGAATGTAAAATACCTCATTCACCCTGAACAGTAATTAGTAAAAACTGGTGGATTGTTAGTAAGTTCCCATTTAATTCTCCTGACATTAATTCTTTGAAATTTTTATACTGGAGCCTTATGCAGCCTAAAAGTTATTTGTAAATCAGAGTTTTTTCTCTCCCATGACATTTCCGGAGAATAAAACAACACAAGTAAGCATCTTAAATCAACGAACATTCTTAAACTTCAAAAAACAAACAAATTAACTGACAACGAACATGTTCTAAATGCCTTAATAATTCTCATGTATTTTCCAGATACAACGCAATATCCTGCCTTAAATCCAGGCATGGGAACCTACGGAACTGGGAATGCAAAGATAAAGACAAAAATTCATGCCACGACCTCAGATTAGTGGCACTCAGTGTCAAGAACCCTCTGAACAATATGAAGTTTAACATGCCTTTTGATTTCAAAGTCAGAAAATGACATCTGCCAACTGCTATCCAAAACTTCACTCATTCTAAAACAATTCGTTTGTCAATGTTGAAATAAGCAAACCAAGCTCAAAGTCGAGAAATTGCAAAAGGATGATAGGCTGCAGCAGGGGGTGCCCGTTGGGGACAGGCTTGTGTACTAAGGAAAGATAGTGGGTTTCCTTTTCCCTACTTTTATACTGTAACGTGCTTATCCCTGTCCTCCGACTGGGAACTCCAGCTGTTGGGGGCAAATGGGTAAGGCTTCTAATTCCTTCAATGCTTAGTGTCACTCAGGTTTTTCAGTCTGTCCTGTAGGCAACACATCATTCCCAGAGCAGGGCAAATATTGACCGTGCCCAATCATCAACACTGTGGGATAGATCCATGGCTGCTTCCATCAGCCGGTGGTTGCCCCGACTTGCAGTAAAACTTTCTAGAAGACTACAGCCTTCGCAAAGAAAATCCAACAAGGCTGGCAGTTCAGTCGGCATTGCTGGGGAAAGGACACAGGACGGTATTGACTACTCACAGTTTGCCTCTGCGATGGGAAACACTACGACGACGAGGCACACCAGCAGCGCCCCACAGCACCCACCGAGGACCCTCATGGCCAGGCCGGCAGAAGCACGGAAGGGGGCTGTGGCACTTCGCAGCGGACCCTGAGCGCTCTGCGCGCTGCGGAGCTGCAAGCCCGGACCCCGCTGTAAACCCCGGTGCCGCTGCTTGAGGACTGCAGCGCGGTGGAGCCAGCGAGCTAGCGCGCCAGTGGATCTGCGTGAGCCCGGGGCGGAGAGGACCGCCAGCTCCCAACCCCCAGCTGCAGAGGGGAAGTGATAACGAGGACATTTCCAGGAAGCTTTGGGAGGTGGGGGCGGGGGACCGGGCTCAGGGAACGCGTTGGAGGCCTAGTAAACACTGAGACAACCTTCCTTGCTGCTTTCCAAACTCCTGCGTTGAGTTCCAGGACTCCTTAATGGGGTGTTTTCGAAGGGGCGGAGAAAGCAAACGCAGTGAAAAGCTCCGAGGCACTTAGGTGGGAGGCTGAGTGACCAAAAGCACTTGGAGGAATCAGAGGACAGACTCTCCGTTCTTAGAAGGAAAAGTCGTGAGAGATCGACGTTGGGGATGAGAACGTTAACCTAAACCCAGAGGTGAAAGAGGACTCGAGAAGACTTGGTAGAGAACAGTGATAATGAAAGTAAATGGGATAGTTTTGGTCATCACCATTTTTATTTTGTATCTGCATGTATGGTGTAAAAAAAAAAGCTACGGCAAAAAAATGTTTTGAGGAAAGAAGAGAATGTATCAAATTCTATCAACTTTGAGCAGCTCGTTATTTTTTTATGTATATATTACCTCTGCTTTTCGTGCTTAGACATACACATTTGAATATGTTATTTAATGTTTAAGGTGCTTGTGGAACTAAACTGCCTGGATTTAAATCGTAATACTCTGTCACTTACTAATTATGTAACCTTAAGCAAATTGATTAACCTCTCTGTCTCAGTTGTTTCATCTGTAAAATGGAGATAATAGTGTTAAAGTAAGTGTTAACGTAAGGATTTAAAGAGATGACACATGTAGAGAAATTAGTGTGTATTAAACAGTAGTACTTAAGGCTTATTTACTATTATCACTTGTATTTCTGACCAAGTGAACATATAAATTGATTTCCTATGTGTGTGCACAAAACTTGATAGGCTGATCATCTTTCAAGATTCTCTTCCAGCTCTAACTTTCTTTGGTTCTTTGATCCAGCAGGATGGAAGTTGATGCTAGTCACTTTTTTAAATAAGAATATTTGCAAAGGAATTATTGAATGTTTTTGAACCTTCCCTTTTTCAATTCTCTTTCTTACTGACTGACTCAACCATGTCAGTCTATTCACCACTTTATCCCCAGCTCCAAATCATTTCACTATAAATATAATTCTAATCTCTGTGTGTTTCTTTTTTTGGTGTGCTAGCAATCATAACAGACAAAATAACCTTTCAGTAGTATATTAATTAATTAAATGCATTTAGGCTACCAGCCTTTTGAGCAGAGGCTTGATTTGGGACCCTCATCTTTGTGAGAAGGAATTAAGAGTAGATGATCAATTTTGAGATCCCAAAATTCCACAAGGAAGGAAAACCTCCAAAATTTTGAATCAACAATATTCATAACAAGTCATCTCTGATACAGACATTTAAAAAAGAAGACTGTAAAGAACAGGAGGAAAGGAATGTTAGAGAAACAAAGGAGTGAATACTTAAAAGGAAAATCTAACTCTTCCAAAGACTTCAGGTGAAAGTGAATGGACGCTCTATCGGGAATTAACCAGAATTCAGCCATGCTGCAAAGAAGAGGTAGCACAGGTTTTCCAGGATCCTCTTCACATGAAGCAGAAACGCAGTATCAGGATTGATTTTGATTGAATGACCATATCTTCAGCATGTTGTTTTTGAGTTATACATTACTTACTGATGTTAATTACTTGCTGACCTTAAATATAGTAGTTACAATTGTTATTTAATCTTTGGTTGCAATAAAGTGTACATGTGTCTAGAGGGATATTTTTCCATCTAAATATTGTGTTGTTGAGAATTACACTGTAGTTTGGTTTTTAGTATTAGCAAGTCAAAAGTATACTAGACCCTTTGTCTAGGCAGCCACTTATTAGATGATGACTCTTGTTTTGTAATTTGTATTTTGCTCTCGTAGATTTCATATCCTACCACCAACACATACCATCCTTCTCACTCCAACCAGGTCATAGAGAAATGCTTGCCCCAAAACAAATGCCAACTAGTCTTTGATGAGTGCCTGTTACATATTAGTGGTAGATACTATAAAGTTCCTCTTCCTAAAGGAACTTAGTGTCTAATTTGAGATGTAACTAATGCCTATTCGTATAAGAGCAATATAGACAATACAAAGAGTGTGTTACAAATTACAGAAATTATGCTATAGAAATTCAGAGTTGGGAGAAAAGGTTAGGGTGGGTTTGGGATTTGACTTAGGTTGTTTCTGATAGAGCAAGTTTCAGGCAAATTTACGTATTTTTAATGTACAGTTATCCCGACATTTTACTTGATTTTAGCATGTGATTTATAGTTATTTGTTTTTGTGTTTTTGTTAATTAGCTGGAAAACAATGTAATCTCTTGTGTTTCAGGTTTCACCTAAGTCCCAAATAAAGGTGATGTTCTAAAACATAAAAGTATAACACCAAAATTTTAAAAAAGTGAATATCTTTTTAATATCACAAATGTGTATCACAGTGCCAGCAACTATAGTCAATGCTGGAAAATTATGTATCGTACCTATATGGTAATGTTAAATTGAAAAATTATATACAGAAATTTTTAAGACTAAAATTTAATACTATATGTTTTGAATAAAATTTTTAGATTTTAACTTATCTCAGAACTTCGGTGGTGGTGATATCTGGCTTTAGCTCAATATCAGTGAACACTTGGTCAATTTTATTTGGCCAAAGTTGTTTTCAGTACAGTTATAAATATGCAAATAAATCTATCCAAACTTTAATTCCTAATCTATCTAATCTCATTCCCAGTCCTAATCCTAGCCCCATTCCCTTACCCAGTTTTATACATCTTCATATGATCTTCTACTAATATATGATCTAGTTTACTTATTTTTTTTTATTATCTGCCTTCTCATCCTTCCCACTACTAGAATATCCTTTAGGATAGGACTTTTTTTGTGTGTTTTGTTCACAACTATATTTCTAGTGCCCAGAACAGTGACTGGCACATAAACATTCAACTTAACAGTGCAAATAAAATTCGATTTAACAGTGCAAGCCTGGGAACATTTTCATGTCAAAATATCTATAGTGATCAGTTCCAATGGTCGAATTATGGATCATTTTCCTTTTGCTAATTTATACAGGGTGGGGCAAAAGTAGTTTTATAGTTGTGAGTATGGGAAACAGTTAATTCTTATATTATTTATTATTATATTATTTTTCATACAAATAATTATAAGCCTACTTTTGTCCCACCCTGTACATTTTTTCTACAAGAATATTTTAATATTTTCTTGGTGAAAACCATCAGGCTAAAGTGTTTACACCATAGGTAATGAAGATTAGTAGTTTTATTTGCTTGGTTTTTTGTATGTTTGTTTGTTTTAGAAACGGTAGTGATTTTTGCGGTTGTACTTTAAGAATGTTACCTTGTGAAATGTTTACAAAATGGATCAGAGCTGGGGAAGATTAGAAACCAAGTAACAGACAACACATAAATGTTGGCAAGGATATGGAGAAAAGGGAACACTTGTACACAGTGGTAATGTAAATTGGTACAGCCAGCCATAGAAAAGACAGTACAGAGGTTTCCTGATAAATTAAAATCAGAATATATATATATATTTATATATATATTTATATTTATAAATATATATATATTTACTCTGTTAATATAAATTACTCTGTTAATATATATTTACTCTGTTAATATAAATACTCTGTATTTATATTAACATAAAATACTATATGTTTTAGTACTAAAATACTAAAACTATATACACATATACATAGAACTACTACTACATATAGTAGATATAGAAATACCGTGTGATCCAACAATCCCAGTTTTAGATATAGAACCAAGGGAAATGAAATCACTATCTCACAAAGATGTCCATGCTTCCGTGTTTATCATAGCATTGTTCACAATAGCCAAGATATGAAAAATACCTAAGTGTACATCCATGGATGAATGCATAAGTCAATGATATATAAAAATGTATTATGTAATTATGTGTTATATGCACCAGATATATACTATATATTCATATACATTGCATATATATGATATATAATAGAATATTATTAAGACTTATTCCACTCCAAAAAAAAGAAAATCCTGCCATTTGAGACAGTATGGATAAAACTGGTGGGTAAAATGCCAGTAAAATAAGCCAGACAGAGAAAGACAAATACTTCATGGTGTTATTTATATGCAGAATTAAAAGAGATCAACTCATTGGAACAGAGTAGAATGGTGATTGCCAGAAGCTGAGGGATACAGGAAAAGGAGAAGTTGGTAAGACACAAATTTTGAAAAAGATGAATAAGTTCTCTTCCCACAAGCAGCCCGAGGTGACCTCTGAAAATGGTTCACTATTCATTTGACCAAGAAAAACCCACAAAATCATGAAAAGCAAAGAGGTTCAAATCTTCTTGTTCCCTTTAAGAACAGCTGTAAACAACCCAGGCCTTCAAGGCTGTGCATACCTCCAAAGCCACTAAGTGTCTGAAGGATGTGACTTCACAGGAGCAACGTGTGCCATTACCTTGTTACCATGGTGGAGTTGGTAGGTGTGCCTGGGGCCAAGCAGTGGGGCTGGGCACAGGGTTGGTGGTCCCAAGAGAGTACTGAAATTTTGCTGGACATGCTTTAAAATGCAGAAGGTAAGGCTGAACTTAAAGGTTTAGATGTAGATTCTCTGGTCATTAAGCACATCCAGAGAACAAGGTTCCCAAGGTGCAGTGCAAAACCTGTACTTGAGCTCTCCCTTCCACACTGAGATGATCCTTACTGCAAAAGATCAGATTGTTCCTAAACCAGAGGAGAAGGTTGCATAAAAGAAAAAGCCATCCCAGAAGAAACTGAAGAAACAAAAACTTAATGGCACAGGTGTAAATTCAGCATAAAATAAATGCTAATAAAAGCAAAAGCAGGAAAAGAAGATGAGTAAGTTCTGAGCATCTAATATAAAGCATGGTGACTAGTGAATTGTACTGTATTGTACATTTGAAATTTGCTAAGAGAGTAGATCTCAAATGTTCTCACCAAAAGAAAAAAAAAGATTATATGAAGTGATGAATGTGTTAACTCATTCACTCACTCATAACTCAATTGTGGGAATTATTTC